CCTCCCAACCCCCCCCCCCCCCCCCCCCTCCCACATCCCATATCCTACATCCACCTCCCATATCCCAATCCCACCTCCCATATCCTGCATCCACATCCCACATCCTAATCCCACCTCCCATATCCTATATCCCACAACCACATCCCACATCCCCATCCCATATCCCCCACCCACATCCACACCCCACATCCCACCTCCCATATCCCACATCCACACCCCACATCCCAATCCCATCTCATATCCCATATCCTCCATCCACATCCCATATCCCAATCCCACCTCCCATATTCCATACTAATATCCCATATCCCATATTCCCATCTCCATCTCACAGCCACACTCACCTCACACCTCCTGCATCCCAATCCTGTATTCCATATCGCACATCCCACACCCACATCCCCATCCCATAGCCCACATCCCCATCCCATATCCCCATCCCACAGCCCACATCACCATCCCATAGCCCACATCCCCATCCCACAGCCCACATCCCCAGCCCATAGCCCACATCCCCATCCCATATCCCCGTCCCATAGCCCATGTCCCTATCCCATAGCCCACATCCCCATCCCATATCCCCGTCCCATAGCCCATGTCCCTATCCCATAGCCCACATCCCCATCCCATATCCCCGTCCCATAGCCCATGTCCCTATCCCATAGCCCACATCCCCATCCCATAGCCCACATCTACACCCCATATCCCACATCTACACCCCATATCTCACATCTACACCCCATATCCCACATCTCACATTCACATTCACATCCCACATCCTCATCCCACCTCCCACATTCCCCCATCCCCATTCTACCTCCCACCTCCCACATTCCACACTTCCCACCAGCCCAATTCCCACGTCATGCAGCTTGGAGCAGGCTATGTGTAAACTCTGTCCCTCCCAAAATCCAGGATGCCTATTCCAGGCCATCCCTGCCCTCCTGACCCGGAAATCCGCTGCCGCGTCCTGCACTGTTTTTATCTTGTGTCCCTCGTGCTCCTTGGAGCTCTGGCAGGCGAAACACGTCAGCTCCTTGTCCTCCAGGCAGAAGAACTTGGGCTCCTCGTGGTGGAGAGGACACTGGGCCTTGCTCAGAGCTCTCTTCTCCCCTTCCTCCTTGAGGATCATCTCCACCAGGTTGTTGAGGGTGTGGTTGATGCGGAGGTCGGCCAAGGAGGACCTCTCCTTGCACATGGGACACACGTGGTGCCGATTCTCCCAGGAGCGGGTCACACAGACCTTGCAGAAGTTGTGGCCGCAGCATAGGGTCACGGCTTCCCGGAATGGCTCGTAGCAGATGGGACACAGCAGCTCCTCCTTCCAGACGGACGATGTGCGGAACGCGGATGTGGTGGAGGAAGGGTTGCGTTCTTTCTCCATGGTGCTGGGAGGGACAGGGAGAAGTGGGTGAGGAGGGATGGGAGGGGGTGAAAATGAGGGGATGGGGAGGCGGAAAAGAGGTGGATGTGGGGGGGATGAAGAGGTGGGAGAGGGATGGATGAGGAGGGGACGGAGAGACGGAAGAGGGATGGATGAGGAGGGCATGGAGAGATGGATGTGGGGAGGATGAAGAGATGGGAGAG